GCCCGAGACGCGCGCTTCCCGCCCGCCTCAGCAGGGCCCCGGGCAGCCGCCTTCTGAGGGATTTGAGCTTGAACGAGACCCGTATCAGCCTCAGCAGTCGGAACCGGGACCGGCTTCCTCTGAATACCAGGGTGTGAGGCAAGGGTCTGATCAGCCACAAGGACTGAGAAAGAGCATCTAGCAGCCACAAGCACACGACCAAGACCCCTACCTAGCACAAGACCAAAGAGTGTTGGCCAGACCCACGCACCAGGGCAAGCACCGTATGAATCACAGACCCCAATTCAACACCTCTGTCATCCACGGGGAGCAGACCAAGCCTCCAACGGGCTGCAGGTGCCAGAAATGAACATCAGCCAGAGTTACGCGCTGGGACAAGACTCTCATCAGGCACAGGAGGAAAGGCAAAGCCTGTATCAGTCATATGCACTAGGATTAGACCCTTACCAAGCAGAGGAACCAAAAAGTGCCTATCAGACAGATGCAGTAGGACAAGATCCCCATCAAGTCTACGAACGTGGGCATGGCCCCTATCAGCCACATGAACCAGGTTATGGTCTTTATCAGCCAGGATACAGTCCATATGATGATCAGATACCGGATCCCAAATCCCGAATGCTGGCAATTCAGAATGCAAAAGCCTATTTACTGAAGAGCAGCACAACATCTGGCCTGAACTTGTAAGTCTGAAAAAGGGACACAACTGAAAGGGGTAGGAAGTATGAGTGGAGGGAAAAGTAGTGTTGGAAAAAGGGCAAAGGGTTATATTAAGAAAGGGAGGGATCTCAGGGGAGTATATATAGAATGAGAAAACATGTTATAAATGCAATAATTCATCCCTACGTGATATTTGTGTGTGTCCAACATCTTTCAGAATCAAAACTCCTAAAGGAATTTATAGAGTTCAAAAGTAGGAATTGATTTGATTAAGAGCAAGTTTAAATTCAGCTTCAGCTCCTGAGGCAGTTGGGGTATATATCAAAAATGGAAGATGGGACTACTCCTAAATATTTCATAATCAGGCTAGTTTCAAGTCTAATTTCCCATAATGCTCCATGATCCCCTTTCATCTAACTATTCCAACAATTTCTCCAAAGCTCCAGGTGATTAGCTTCTACTTTTGGCATTAAAACATAATATTCTAAGACCTTTGTGTAGTAGGCAAATAATATTTTCATTTATATGACAGATATGATCATCTTGCTAATATGCTAACAAAGATCCTGGATGAACAGCCGACAAATGCAGTAGACATAATTGAGAATATCAGCAAGGACGTGAAGTGGGCTCAGTTTCAGAAAAAAATGGACACTCTTCGAGATGAACATGAGATTCTTCCAACATTTGAAGCTGCAGAAAAGCGTAAAGCTTTGTTCCTCAAGGCAAATGGAGGAGATGAAGAACTAGAAGAGGAGATAGTGAGTTATTATCAGAGAAAAATAGATATCATATGTACTAGGGAATGGGTGGGAGGATGGCAGAAAGGAAGGAAGTTGTGGTCTCCTTTGTAGTTATTGCCTCTCATGAGCATATAAATAATTGCAGCCACAGTACCATGTACCCTTTTGATAGCTGAGTTGGTCCCTTGTCTAGTTGTGAAGAAGAAAACACATCTGGTTACTTAGTTGGGATTTTCTCCTGCAGTAAATCTAATAACCCAAGCCTTTAAAATCATAGATGTTCTAGACATGAACAGAAAGTAAAGTTTACAATATCTCCTATATGCCAGTTCATTGTGGAATATTGCATCCAAATTTATTTTCTTTATCTAAAAGTGACATTTCTTTACCTAAAGTGACCATAATTCTGAACACCAGTTCGAGAATATTGTGCACAGCTGCTACTGTAAAATAGAGAATGGACAATTTTGTAACCCTTCCAGCTCCAGCTGTGGTTCCAGTCTGTCCTTCTCCAAATAAAAAAAAAATATGGTTATAATGAAGAACTAGTAGAATTGAAAAGCCACTTCTTAAAACAGGGCATTTTTCAGTACTCAGGTGTTTATATGCAAAACCATTTGTACCCAATGAAAAATTAAGAGAATTCTTTTAATAACCAAGGGGAACTAGTCAACAAGATGTTGACTTTCATATGAAGTTACCAGTATGTATGCAAATGAATTGCCATTGCAGAATACAAATACTAACAACAGAAGAGATAGCCTTTCATCTTTTCCATAGCCTATTACTTATTTTACAGTAACGGTATACAATGGTAAAAATGGAAAAAAGTAGGATATTTCAGAAAGGAATTTTGAATTTTTCATACTCCTGTCTATCTTGCTTTGATAAAGAAACCTGGAAATGCCAAAGAAATTCCATATGAAACTAGCACTACTTCTTC